AGGTCTGTGGTGGTATGTGGGTCATTGTTCCAGCTGCTAAAGTGCTTTGACTTTCTCTTTTATTACCGCCACACTTTCTCCTGCTGCTATAGCCCATGTGTAGGAATTGTAGTATGAAAACACAAGTGACCTCAGTGCGTCACAGGAAGGTGGAGGAGGAAAGTGTGGACTGCCATTAAGCGAGCTCTTGATGGCTCCTGAAGGAGCAGTAAGGGAAATGTAAGATTTCTTTGTGCTCCTGTTACTGCAGGAGGGAAATCATACTACTGTGGCCTGCCTCCGTCTGACAGTCAGACCAATGAATAAGCTTAATAAATGCTTGTGTTTCCCTTTTTAGCACTAGAGAAAGTGAAGACAGGTGTCTTATTTTAAGGTGAAGATGCAACATGCTCCAGTAACATATTACAATGACATTAAAGCTGATTCCTGAAATGACAAATGCATGTACACGACTGGACATTTGCTGGGTATATAGATATTTTTGTTAATATCAGCATTTAAAGAAATATTTTTTATTTTTTTTTGCTGAGAGTTAGATGAGAAGATTGAATACTCATCATGTCTCTATGGTTAATTTAAAACCAGGAGGTGCTTAGCTTAGCTTAGCATACAGCGTTGAAGCAGGGGGAAAGAGTTAGCCTGTCTAAAAAAAAGGTAACAAATTCTACCTACAAGCACATGCAAAGTTCAGCAACACTAATATTGTTTTTTCTCACTTGTTGAGTTGATGTTCACGATTTGCCTATAACAGCCAATTAAAATCATTTATCATCTTATTACATCCATTCCAATTGTCTGCAGCTTATGTGAAGCAGAACTTATCAGCATTGAAACTCCCTGCCATGCAGATGCAAACACAGCACCTCGTCTCATCAGCTGAAATCCCCCCCTCTATTTCCTCCCCTCTCCCCCTTTCCCTCTTTTTCCAAACTACTGAGGATGTGAGCTCACAGTGGATGGGAGGACAGACAGGAAACGCAACTGCAGTTTATCACCCATATACAGGAAAGACTGCTTCAAACTGCTCAAATGTGAATGGAAAAAGGGAAAAATATGCACACTAGGCAGGCAGTGTCACTTAAAGGCCCTGAAAGCCAATTGTCTCATTCAGCTTCTTACTGTGAGCAACAGGATCCTACTGTACATGAACACAAACGTTTCTGCCGATGCTAGAACAATTCTAGGTTTTTCACATGAGAGGTTTCAATATTTGTGCTTTATGTCAATGCTCTCCTCATTGGTTTGAAGTAGACAGTCTGGAATTTACAATATTTGAATCAAAATCTGATGACAGCTGTGGGGTTGTTTCACTGTGCAAAATAGAGGCCTAGGACCCCCTGTAGACATCAAAATTAAGCTAATTACTTTCTATTAACTTATGTGGTCTCTACTGTTGCTGCTGCAGCTGTTGGTGTGGATACCTGCAAACTCATATTAGGGCTGCAACTTAATTGATGATTATTGTCATTGTTGATTAATCTGTTGATTATTTTCTCAATTAATCCACTCTTTATTTGTTCAAATTTTAAAATATTGATCAGTGTTTCCCAAAGCCCAAGGTGACGTCCACAACTCAAAGATATTCAGTTTACTGTCACAGAAAACTTGAAAATATTCACATCTGAAAAGCTAAAATCGATTAATCTAACAGTCGACAACTAATTGTTGCTCTAGTTAATATAGATTAAATGTTACTTATAATAATTAGTTCTTAAACTGTCCTTAAATCTCAGAAGAAAATAAGGGTTTGGATATCTGCTGCTATATCTCACTATATAACTGTGCAGCTCACTGCTGTCAGAAAAGCAGACATGGTCAGTTAACAGTTACGCTATCATGTCGCAAGATTTAAATAATTAATGAAGGTATCTGCACTGTGCCAGCTGTGTTTAGTATTACACACAGTTTTGGAGAGGTGTGAGAGTGTCTCTCAGCCATTTCACAGGCTTTAAACAGTAGGCGGAGCTCCAAAGTGTGCTTCTAGGCATCTACATGTAGAGAGTATAACAGCTTAATGTGCGTAGATCCGTGTGTGGCTAAATCTAAGCCTATAAAACCCCTAAAATAGATTACACTTCTCTGGGGCAGTGCTGCACGGCAAATACAAATTGAAAATATCTCTGTGGAAATGAGAATCCTTCTTCTTTTCGTTCTAGTCCCATCACTGAAATGAGGGGAGACAACTGGCAAGAGGCTGCGCAGGGCTACATAACTGCCACAGCAGGCGGCTCAGCTCTCTCTCTCAGCTCCTGAAAGTTATCCTCCCACCTCTACGACTCCCCTCTTAATCCACCCCTCTCCAACTTGGCTGTAATCCTCTCATTCCTCTCATCTTTATCTCCCTCCCTCAGCTCTCTCAGGTTTCCTCTCTCCCTCCATCCCTCCTTCGTCGATTTGACCCCGGAGAGTCAGCGAAGCGAGTGGAGAGGGGAGCGCGCGAGGGGAAGTCGACTAATATGGTAAAAATCAAAGGAAGGCACAAAGGAGGTTAAAGTGGGTGACCCCCTTCTCTCTTCGTCTCACTGAAGCCCAGTAAAGTCAGTGTAAACACAGTAGGAACTGGACTTTGCAGGGCCAACTCATATGAACAACTTCCCATAGTGAAAAGAGCACTTTGGGGGCTCAAACTGCTGACATCTACTCTATCACATGTACACAACAGTCATAAGACAATCCATACCCCCTTTCATGCAGCCTCCTGTTTCCCTATCAGCCTTCATTTTTGATTGGTACCTTCCAAATAGCTCGGCACTATCTTGGCTAAGCTCAAGGATTGGGAAGTATGCAAGCACTCGGTGGCCTCTGCCAAGACGCTGTGAAGATTCCCTGGAAAGGAAGGAAGAAGGAACCTTCCTGTGACAGCCCACTGAGCGGATGGTTATCCACATCAATTGAAAGAAAACAAAGAAAGAAAAGATAAAAACAACAGAGTCCAGCCCTGGTGTTTGGATAACCACAATGTCAAGCTGCTCCGGTACTCGGAGACTGGTGAGCAGCTTCCTCCGGGCCGAGATGCTCCGGAGAAGTCAGAATAACAGGGAGTGTGCGTGTGGTAATGTGTATAGGTGGGGAGCACTGGTGAGGCCATATGGGTGGAAGTTTGTATGTCTTCTTGTGCATGCAGGCGTGTGTGCATGTGTGTGTGTCTATTTGTGACACATACAATGCAGCAGGACCACACAGTCCTTCTGGTATGTGGGATTTCCAGGTTCAAAATAGGCCCAAGTGTGGGAGGAAGGCAGGAACAAACAGCAGAGAGAGGGGGAGAAGAAGAAGAAGAAGAAGAGGGAGAAGGGAAGGAGGACAGGGACGACACATGAAGTACGCATTCATGGCAACTGAGGCAGAATTTTCATTTTCATCTGTGTTCAGCCAACCCACCTGTCAGCACGGGGAAGTTTCTGTGGTATACTGAAATGGGAGGTGTTACGGTATGACAGATGGAAAGCCGCCAAGAGTGTTAAATTGCCACTGTTAACACGTGGGATTACAGTGTAGAGGAAGGAAAGCAGGGCTGCCACCATACAAACTTACAGGGAGATTTGAACAATCTTCCACTGTGGCCATTTAGGAGCTGAAGGGGCATGACATTCAATACAAACCCCTACAGTGCACCCAAACATTGTTCAAACCTGCAGAAACGCTTAAATTCTTAAATTCTGTTTTGGGGAAATTTGTATACAACGATGCACAAGAAATTTAGATTATTTCCATCTGATGGAACAGTGCAGCCATTAAAACATGCGGTCTGGGTTTGAATACTTCACTCAGTGTAAACATCATGTAGCTTCAATAAATACCTAGAACGAGCTGATACAGAACATATACGATACTGACAGATATAAGGAGACTCTTTCCAACCTTAAAGGGGCATTTGTACAGTTTAATTAGTGCTGGTAAAGTTCGGGACACTCACAAGTTACAAGTGATTTAAAAAAGAATGCTTTAAATTGAATCTCTAAAGGGTCCTACTATACAGTGCGTGTCGAAAAACACTAGATCCTACAACTCCCATAATGCAATATTTAGTTAAGTCTTCAAACTCCATGTCCTTGCTTCATAACACAAGATTTCAGTTACAAATCTCAGTATTACTATTATTATTATCAGTTACAAGGACCCTTAAAATAATTCAAACATAAGGGTCTCTTTTGTTGAAGAAATGCTTTGTTATAATTTCAAAAAATATAATTAATTTTTAAAATATTTTTAAATAGCATTAAAAAGGTAATTCAGTACTGTAGATAAGCAACTGTACACAGTATGACAGAAATTTCATACCCAGGTACTGATACACTGCAACCCCTCTTAAAACTAATCTAAGATAACAGCTCATGACTTAAGAGAGTACCCTACAGAGCCACAGAGTACAGCATTAACAGTTTACACAGGCTGAATAGACTCCTCCAGACAGGTAAACTGAGTGTCCCTTCAAAGCCACTTAAGGGGAAATAACAGTGGAAAACCTAATGTTTAGGGGTTTTGTCACATGTGCCTAAGATATAGGACACGAGAAAAGTGTAAGGCTCCAACTAGAAGATGAGCATCTAATTTGTGTTGTACTTCATCGTTAGAATATATGTTTAAATTGAGCCTCTAATGCACTAAAAACTATTGGTCTATCAGTTTGACCAAATAACTTACAGGACAGACCCATAAAGTTGTGTAATCTGATCAGAGAGCTGGCAAAATACGTTTCTAATATGCTCTGTGTAAAAACACGTGTGCTGTATGAAACAAGGCAGCACAGTGAGCTAAGCCAACAGGAGCATAGCTGAGCAGTGTATCAGCCGCTGTGTGAGTCACCTGTTGCGCCTGGCTGTTGTCGGCTCTCCGGAGAGCCGTGCGTAACGTGCTGGAAGGAAAGTTTCCCAGGCTCATTACGACTACAGAGCCCAGGTTTGGTTATATATACATACACAGACTGACATTAGTGAGCGACTTAGTGAGCTCAGTGTACAGACAGAGTGTCAGTGAAGTTTAGGATCTGCGTAACTCACCGGCAGTCCCGGGCTCCAGCACCAGCGCCGTAAAGACACAGACGGATAAAGCTCCCCGTAAAGATAAAGAACCGCGCTGAGCCTCCATGTTTGTGCGTCCGCAGATCCTCCGTCACATTAAAGGTCAAACCAGCGAGAGTCCAGTGGAGGAATGAGTTTGTTGTGTCCGCTGTGCTGTGCGCTCCACTCCGCTCAGCAGCTGGAGAGTCACTGCTGAACCATCCATACACACACACACTCACACACACTGTATACACACAGTGCTCTGACAGGAAACCGGAGGAGGGAGGGAGGACTCTCTCTCTCTCTCTCTCTCTCTCTCTCTCTCTCTGTCTGTGTGTGTGTGTAATTACCTATCCAAATACTTGAAATGGGAACAGTAAACAGCTCTGTATACATTTACATGAACTCCAGCTTTCAGAAATATCACAGAGCTTCAACAGATTTCCAGAAAGTGTGGACTTACAGCTAATAGACAGCTGGAGAAACACTTAATTCATTAATAATTTGCCTCACAATTTACAAAAGAAAGTAAAATGCCCATATTGGCCTACTAACTGCTTATCAGCTTTAGACCTACTTTGAGTGGCAAAATCTACTTGGTACATTCTGAAGGTATGACTTATAACAATAAAGTGCCCAAAATGACTCTTTACTATAAACTTAATCATTTTCACAACCAGGACTATAGTCACCACTGAGAACATTGATGTTGTCCTTCTTTCCAAGAATTTGAGGGACATTCTTAATTTTAAAAATGTACAGATGATGGGGATTTTTTTAGGCTGATTCCAGGAAGTATTTTTATAGTCAGCTTTAAAATGTAAATATATTTTGGCCAGTAGAAAAAACACCCAGGAAGAATTCAATATTTCCTAAATTTTTTTGGCAATTTAGCTTATAGTTGTTGAGATCTCTCAGTGTGGTTGACCGACAGGCTGACCCTGCCATCCATAGAAGAATATATAAAGAAAATCTAAACAAACGGTGAACTAACAAGTCAAATGAAATATCAAAACTCCAAATACATAATATTGGAGACCTACTTTTTGCTGTCTAGTCATAACTTTTGGGGTGGGAGGGTTGAGTTGGGGAGACTTCGATTCACCGCAGCATTTCTAAAGTCTCATATGGTTCTGTTCAAAGTATGTATGTCTTAGAAATACACTGTTGGACAAATAATAGACACAAGTCAAAATATAATACAGTTCAATACAATTTGACTTAACACCTCCAGGACACAAGCTCAACAAACAAAAAAATAACATTATGTGTTTGATAAAGGTAACATTTATGGCAGGGTTATTATCATATGTATATAATATAGTGTCATTGTACAGGTGTTCCTTGGTTGTTATGTCAAATGTTGAATGACTTTTCTTTACAGCGTTATATTTTTTTTATAAATATGGATCCCTGTTTTATGAATGATGATTGTAATACACTTAATCTAATTAAACTTTTACTCAATCTCTATCTCAAAGCTACAAACCTACACACAGTGAGAATACAACGTTTCCCATGTCACTGCTTTTCATTTTCCTGGGCTGAGTGGCTGATTTAATCTAAAATGATACTGTACACATAAGGAGCAGTTGGGACACTGCCTACCTCTGTGTGTGTGGGTGTGTGTGTGTGTGTGTGTGCGTGTGTGTGCGTGTGTGTGACTGACGAGCTTGCTGACTGATGAGTGGCAGTGATCTGTATGACAGCACAGAAACTGAGCCCAGTGACGGATAGATAATAAAGCTGAGCCTGTCTGTCTGCTCATATGAGGCAGCAGGTCTGGACATGCTGCTCTCTACCAACACTGGAACTGAGCCACACACTCTCTAGAGTCTCACAGCCCCCGTCGACCCCACTCCTCACCAGTCCTCTAGAGTCTAGCTCTGAATTCAGCCGGTAGGGTCAGGGCCCCAGCGGGTCGGAGCTTTGTTTGTTTTCAAGTCCCACATGACAGCCGTAGTAGAATATGTTTTATAGCCTGGGACTACAAATAAACTGAGTTTGGCTTTATGTCTAAAAAATAAATCCTTTTTTAATAAGTATGGAGATGGGAAACTCCGGGATTTGCAACATAAGATAGTATCCAACAGTGTTCTCAAGTGAACTGTTGTTAATTCTACAAGGTGATTCACAGATATTTAAAGATATTTAATTTGCAGTTAGATTTTAATTTTTGTCTTAAGCATTCCTTATGACAACTCAGGAAATTGTGCACCTTTGTAGGTCTGGCCATATATCAATTATGACAGTCACTGCACTCATTGCTAAGATACAAGATTGCACAATTCCCAGCTTTCCCCAGGGCATCTCAAATACAAGTGATCTGCTAGATTTAACCCCCTAACATCCAGTTTTCCCCCTTTATTTCACCTTAGGCATATTTAATTATCACATTCTGGTGGCATCGTCACCTCGGATTAAAGTCCCCCTCTGCTCAAAAATCTGTTGTTTAAGTTTGAGTTTCACTGACATAAAAAAAAATCACATTTTTAATGGGTGGGGCCTACCAGCATGATTTGTGATATTACAAATAGTTTGGAAGTCAATCAAGTGCGATGTAGAAACTTGAAGCCACCAGTGCACATCCACTGAGAATGGACTTTATAGTGAAGAAGGAGACATCTTGTGTCCAGCAGTAACATTTATATATTAAATATATTCTGAAATTTTTAAGGAGGTAGAAGGAGTAGATTACTTTTTAAGGACTTTAATGTGGAAATTGTACTTTTTTTGTTGAGACACATTATTGTTCCAAGTACATTTGTATTTTTTACCCAAGACTACAGGCATCATTCTATCAAATGGAAATATTTTAGAACAAAACAATAGAATACCCAATGCACTTATTTCCCCAAAAAACAGGTGGGATCTCATTTCTAATTTGAACACATCCATCCATCCATTATCTATACCACTAGCTTATCTTCTGCAGGGTTGTGCGGTGTTAAGCCACTCAGAATGCCAGTCTGACAAATAAGGAATTAATATTACAACCTGCAAAAACCTACAAAGGAGCTCATACAGCCATCAACCCAGTTACATGCCAAGCAGGGTCTGTAGTGTTTTTTTCCTGCTTCGTGCTTATGTGTGCAGTCTGACATTGCTGCTCATTGGTTGAACAAGTCTGAAGCTGGCCAATCATCATGCAAGCCCTCAAAATAAGAAGCCTGCCAGAGTTCACCCTCTCTGAGATTGACTCTGCTGTTGTTGTTTGACAATTTAGAGTCACCAATTAACCGTTACCTGCATATCTCTGGACTGTGGGAGGGAAGAAAAGGAAACCACACAGAACAGGGAGAACATGCAAAACTCACTCCAGATGCACAGGAGGAACACAATGAGAGTGAATAAGCAGGATGGTAATTCAGTTCATTCAATTCAATTCAGTTTTATTTGTATGCGCCAATTCATAACAGAAGTATCTCAGGACACTTTTCAAATAGAGTTAATCATTACATGACTTACATGACTAACTCAGCATATCATCTGCATTTCTGAAGAATCTGATTTAGCCTCCATTATCAGAAACCACTTAATTTGGAATAAAAATGGAGGCGAACATAGCGGGTGATGGCTGTCTATCTGCCTCCTGAAGATGAACATCTTTAAAAACATTTTTAAAAATGGCTCAGTAATTTCCAAAACAAGCTGATCACTGTAGTTGCTCAAACAGGAGGAAAGTCATTTTTGTTGTAACTATTTTCAGCTGTGGTTGAATACACATTTGGTGTCTAGTTAAGACTTGGGGCAGCAGGACAGTGTGTGGGATAGATTAAAATAACTACAGTGCGTGTGAACAAGTCACCCAGTGCAAAATGGAGCTCTATGACACAGAGGAAAAGATATATCAGGCTTTGATACACACACAATCATGAAACAATAATTTTCTGTGGCTAAACCTAACAAAACAGCAACAATTTCACAAGGGTAACAACACAAGTTTTATTTTGTATGTCCAGAAATGACGCTAGAGGGATACCTACAGCATCATACTTGGAAGCTTTTCACTATATCTTGACAGTAGTACATGAGCCAGATAATTTATGCAAATATCTGGTTCCTCTGGCTCTAGTGCTCCTAATGGCATTGGCAAGAATCTACTGGGCCTTGACAAAAACAATCAATCAGAGTCGAGAAAGATATAAAGATGCTTTGGGTTGGAGGCTCGAAGACAGTTGACTGTTGAGTCTCATTCCCAAGTGTCTGTATTTGACACCCTGGGAATAAAGCTACAACCAACTATCTTTCTCGGCTCGGATTGGTTGTTTTGGTCCATATATGACTTTTTACACTTTTTTATAAAAATTACTTGCTGCAGCTTTAATTCACGCCCACTTTGAATGTACAGCAAGTGTACATACTGTGCTGAAACATAATACATTCCAGTCTCAAGTACCTACAGCTGACACCCAAACCATGAGGATAAAAAAATCCACAAATGTGAACCCTTGGCAGCCGGAAAAAGTCCAACAACATCACTGACAACCACACTGGATCTCCTTATGTGCCTGAATTGGTAAATGATACAATACTGTGCACTATAAATCTCACTGACCGCTGACTAATGTGATTGATGATAATTGCTGATGGAGGGGAGTAGGCAGGGGTTGCTGCAACATTATATAAGAACTCTGCTGTCAGTCAGAGAATCTGAAACCATGGAACGATTTATTTCCCTGAAGCTTCGAGCAGCCGGGGTCATAACTGGGACACTGAGATCATGGGTGTTATGGGATGAATTCAAGTTCAAAATTAAGACTCTTTTAGTGCTAAATTGGTTCCCAAGAGCTAAAATGATGTATAGGATGTGTCAGTATGTGTGTAATGTGCTCATTATTAATTCCAACTGTCAACACCAGCAGCTGTCCGTCTCTAACAAGCCCAACGAGCTCCATACAGGACCATGTATGCTGGTAAACACCTGCCAACTGACTTCATTAACTCTGACTAAACTTTCTGTACTCTCCATCAGATCAAGTTGTTTATGTTTGTCACGTCTTTGCTGTACGTGATGGTTAACATCCTGAAGTGCTCTGGTCCGTTGTCTGAGACGCTCTTTGCCAGGGGAGTTTCACAATAATGGAAACTTGGACACAGATGGGATGGACTTTTTGCTGTTATGTTGGCTGAGCAAGCTATTAAAAGAATATTTTATTTTGATTCATGTGGTGTCTGTTTTGTTTCCTTGGCCCCAGGAGACGTATAAACAGATACACCATGTTTTGGGGGACTGGCTCTGGGACAA